AACATTAACTAATGCTGGTAAAGGCTTTAGCACTCTTTATTAACGTCAATATTTAATGTCGTTAAAAATTGTTTTTGTTTTAGTGTTAATGGCTAATGATGTTGGTTGAACAACATGAAGTCACAACTTCAATTCTAAACTTTAGATAAAAACACTTGGTGATTTCTTGGGATCCTATTCTGAACTTGGTGATTAGATTACCAAATATATGCTGTTGGTAGAGAGGTGGCAGCTGACAAGTATCCCATAAAGTAAGTCTTAAAGTGCACAATAACTGACCAAAACACCAAGTTATTAAAAAAATAAATCTTCAGTTTAATTCCCTAATTAGCCTCATTGACTTTAAGAGTCTTGCCGTGTACAAAACATTCTCGGAGGTTGTTTGTCTGTGTTGAACTGGAAATTGACAACGCATAGAAACTATACATATACAGTTACAGTTGAAGAGATTGTAAAAGTAATAATTTTGACAAATGATTCACGTTCATGCATTTATTTCCATATGTAGTGTCGTGGTCGTATTTTCTTTCCTAAACAACGACTAGACAAATTCTAAATGCTTCTGTATCAAAAATTCAAAATATGTACAGAATAATTTTTTGACGAGAGTGAATCCGTCAACGTCGCGTCCCTTAGCCTAGCTCCTCCCATGAGTATATGACTTAAACATAAATTTAAACGTGTTTTACATGTCCATTGGAAAACAGATAGATGTAAAAAAAAAAAATTGAAAGTCAAACTCTGTACCCACACTGGTAATTTCTACTTAGTTAATTAATGCCTTTAATGTCATCTTATACCGGTAATTAGGCACAATTATTTTCTGTAAGACTTTTACAAGTCTTAATTTAGACCAATCTTCGTTTATTATCCCAAATGTACAACAAATCTAGAAACAAAAAAGTCTTGAGTTTTGAAAAAAGGAAGTGTTTTACCATAGACTTTTCGTTGAGGAGTTCAACAGAGATGAGGCAATGAAACAATGATTACGTATCCCCTCTGTTACATCTTTTTAATTAAAAAAATGTCACTTCCTAAATTATAATATTGACATTTTGTACATATATGTAATTCAAAGTTACAAAATACATTGACTTCTTTTTCAAAAATTACAAAAATTAAATGAATTGATTCAAGTGCTTCTAGTAACTTATCATATTTTTACTTTTTTTTAAAAAAAAATTTCACCGCTGTCTTTAACTTTCTGTCTTACGTTTTATGGTCTATATATGTTAATTTCTCCGTAGTTGATATTTGTTGTTCCTTGAGTGGTAGACAATAAAATCCACTACAGTACGTAATGGAATCTCGTTTTAAATGCATGCATGGTAAAATGAACATCGCGTTCAAACATAAGGGTAGATTCTAATATTATAGGAACCCTCTAAGTTTGGCAAAACCTACTACCGCCTTCTACTCGAACTTTCAAGGAAAAACATTTCAAAGCAGATTTGAAAATAATAATAATATGAAAGTAAAGAAGTTATGTCAGATATATAGTAATAGAAAGGAATAGTAACAACTAGCTAAATAATACAATAATTGCAGAACCAAAACATGGAAATAGTGCTAATACAACCAGTAAGAAAAGAGAAGCAGATACAGCCCTCCAACCAAGCTTATTTTAAAGCAAGATAATGCTCAACTATCTATTAACCATCTACCTTAATCACCGACCTCCATATTCTAGTTCTAAGGTCATGTACTCGATAAACTAAAAAAATGTGTCATATCCTATTTAATCATCTCCCTCAATAGTTCTCCAACCTCATCTACGTACCTCTCCTTAGTGCATCTCTCTTTCACATGTTTGAACCATTTCAGCCTCACTTCTCTCATCTTGTTCATCATATCTAAACCTACATGCTCACCTTTTCTAAATCATTGTTGATTCAATAATTACTGCTAATACAGACATTAAAGCACCAAGAGGGACAAAAAGACGTTCACAAGTGACAAGAAAACCAAAAAGGGATTTTCATCAACATTTGATTAGATTAATTAATCGTTCAAAGATTATGATAACGTTGCTTAAAAAATCAATAGCTAAAAGGTGATAAATTGTAATTATACTGCCCTTTGAATTATTTTTCACTTTTAGCAGAATGCATGTTTCTAGACTAGAAACGAAGCACATGAGTGATGGAAGGTAAAAGGAAAACAGTAAATAATAGTAGTTCACTTTTCATAAAGCTTGAAGGGATGGAACATCTTTTTGGTCGTAACATATATACCATCACTTTGCTTAGATTCCACACTTCAAGGTTGTCGACTGGAATATTTAACTACACAAAATGTTAAGGATGTGACCTAATATGGGAATCACAAGCCAATTATTTCCTTTTTTTTTTTGGGATATAAAATGGCAACGCGCAATTAACGGCGTCTAAAGTCGATTGGATATGCTAAAATCATACAACGGTGAATAATTGAACCTTCAGAAAGTTCAACTCCAGGGTGTAGGTTATAATCATCCAACTCTCCATCATACATGCTGTTAAAAATGTAAGGAAGTTCTAAAGTTCGAATTAAATTAGCCTAAAAAAGAAATTCTTATCTCTTGTAACAAGAAAGAAAACATGTCTAGCTGACAGCTTTTCTGAACCTTTTGGAACTTGCTGTAAAATGCATATAGCTTATTGTAATGCTATTTCTGGTTATATATATCGACTAAACATATATGAGATGTTTGTTTTTTTGCTTCTTTACTTCCAGTAATTGCAATATAATGTTTTAGCGTTTGTTATCCTTTTGTTGGGAACTAAACTGTACATATTGTCTTAAATAGTGATGAAGTGGGTAAAAGAATCAAGGAGACCGTCTCCCTTCCCAACCTTTTGCTTTCTGCTCATCCTTCTGATGTGTTTTAGCTTTTCTTGGCAATGTTTGATCACACATATCTTTTCTGTTTGCCAATTACTACCTCCTTTCCCATCATTATCCTACCCCCTAGATAAATTCTTCCGAGTTTAACTTTTACACAATCAAAAGTATAAAACATTTTTCTAAGCCTAACAACTAGAAGTGTACCTAGAAAATTAAGACCAACAACTTAAGAAAGCAAGCTAAATGACACTAACAGCTTCAAAATATTATATTGCCAGTGTATACAAGTTAATCCTCGATTGTTTAGTGTAGATTCGGATGAAAAAGTAAAGAGAGAGAATAAAAGAAAGTGATGGGCTCTGGTATATATGAGGCAATGCACATGGGAAATGACTGTCCGCAAAAAAAAGCAGATGCATTTATCCTTAAAGTGTCTGTTAAGTGGAGTAACTACTACTTTGTCTTAAAAGTATAAAATGGATCTACTTTGGCGTTTGAATATATTTCCCCATCCTAGCTTGTTTATTTGCCGATCATGACACTAATTCTAGGGCTTATTTTTTAAAATAAAGTATTGAAAGACGGCTTTTATTTCTTTATAAACAAAAGCACAAAGTGCTGGTAAGTTTTTACGTAGAACTGTAGCTCTTTTCATACAGAAAGAGGCAACAATCTGCAAAAATCATTTTTATAAAGTAGGTAAATAAATAAAGTTTAAAAGAACAAAAGTGACAACTCATCTCTGGATGAAATCACTAAAGAAAGTAAATTTATATTAGTGATCCTTAGGGCCCATAGCTATGTGTATATGGTCAATCTGATGCTAATTTGTATGCAGGATATACCCCACTCAGAGTAGAAACAAAATTGAAGTAACGACACCTAGGTAGGTGACTACAAATCTGGGATATCACTAACAAAATAAACAAATACTAGATGATTTCTTTGTACGTTGTGATATAGCTACGCTGAGGAGGTTCGAAAATTCGGGCAGTGTTGTTCAAAGACAACATGTGCTTTGAAATAGTTAACGAGTCAACGTTTGAATCAAATGTCACCTGAAATTGAAACACTTGACCAGACATTATGGAAAACGGGCACTCTACTAATGGGTGATTTTAAAAACAATTAGATGCCCTAATACTTTGTACTTTGTAGCACCCCAATTTGGTCGACTAAACAACCCATCAACTGGTGACCAAGAAAACATCTAATATCAATATCAGCATCTTAGAATTAGGTAGCTGAACAGGTTAGACTTCAACTCTTGAATCAACCCAAATACCAAAATCCTCATTCCAGAACGACTTGCATTTTATTAAAAAAAATGTATAAAGAAAAATGTTTTCATCTAAGTGGAGCAGGCAGGCATTTGACCATCAACTTTTTTCATCACCAACCTTAGGACCAACCATGGCTTTCGAAACTCAAGGATAACAGATCTGGCCCCTCTACCTTTCTCCACTTAATTACCAGAGTACCAGACTTAGTTCACTTCTAGCAACGCTTGAACCTGTAATCTAAGTCACAACTCCCTTAGCCTCTGTCGATTGAACTAAGCCATGGGGAGCAAGCATTTGAGGGTGAATTTACAAGCTACCGGGTTGAAAACGGCTCATACTCACCCCACGGCTCAATTCAGGTGGATAACAAGTGTATGTATTAAAAGTGCTAACATTGTCACATTGTGCTTTCAGATATAAGACATACTGTTTCAAGTAGAATTAGTCCAGTGCGTAATGACAAAAATTGCAATCATGAACCTATGATATATGCGAATATGTTGGCAACACCATGCACAAAATTAAAGGCATCCATCGGCAAATTATCCCAACTATTTTAGTAGGTTGGACTGCACCGGAATGCATGTTTAATATTTCCCTGATACTCCTAGTGCTATCTAAAGCTTGCACAAAAAAACAAGGAACTAGACCAACATAGAAACTTCAGTTGATGCATGGAAATAGACAAATGGATATGCTTTCAGTACTACAAAGGGTTGAACTGCCCTGAGTTTCTCCTAGCCACAACATAAACCTATTCTTCACAATGCCTAAAACCAAATAATTGAATGTTGAGAAATAGTTACATTTTAATAAATACAAATAAACATCATTTTCGTATACATCACAGAAATAACTGTCTAGTGCACTTGTCACTAGTTCTGCATCAAATGGTAACTAAAGAAGACTATAACGTCTGCTTTTATGGCTTTAATCAAATTAGAAAATCAGAAAGATGTAAATTTGGTTTATTTGGTAAAGTAGAACATTAGTAATCACCTAGTGATAGCCAATCAAAAAATTTAAATACTTCAAATGAAGAGATGATCTCTATCAACATAAAACTGTAAGGACTGCTATAATTTCTCCTATAGAATTATCATTTTCAGGGCTTTCAAGAATTCTGAAATTTCCAACATCAACCCAAAAATTACTAGGAAATCAAATTGAATTTAGAGCTTACAGTTTTGTACTTCCAGGGAAAAGTTCACAGAAAATTCTCCAAAATGTTTGGTACAGCAGGTTTTCCAGCTAATACGTAATGCATCCTTAAGTACCTATGGCAGATAATAATATTGATCAGGCCTGTATTGAATAGAAAGCCAGTATGTATAGTAAGCTCATAAAATCTAATTAAATTCTCTTCTTGTTCAGACATATCCCCCCCCCCCAATCCTGCCGAGCTTGTGAATACCAGATGACTGATCAAGCAAATTATAAAGGGAAACTTTCACATATAGTCACTTACAAAATAATTAATTACTCTCTATAGCTATAGTTTGATAATTACAATTTGTAGCTACACGTAATATGGAGGAGAGAGGCGAGCGAGACTGAAAGAGAGAGGAGAGAGGAGAGAGAGGGGAAAAAGAGTGAAAGAAAGGTGAATTGTATATGTATATTGGTTAATTAATTGTATATTTTACATATGTATTTGTATATATGGCGAGCGAGACTGGGAGAGGGAGGAGAGAGGCGAACGAGATCGAGAGAGAGGAGAGAGGCGAACGAGATCGAGAGAGAGGAGAGAGGCGAACGAGATCGAGAGAGAGGAGAGAGGCGAGAGAGAGATCAGAGAGTGGGAGAGAGGTGAATTGTATATTATACATATACATTTGTATATAGGGGAAACGAGATTGGAAGAGGGAGAAGAGAGGCGAGCGAGATTGGGAGAGCGAGAGAGAAGCGAGCGAGAGAGTGGGAGAGAGTTGAATTGTATATGTATATAGGTTAAATAGTTCTATATTATACATATATATTAGTATATTCTGGTGAATTATAAATATACAAACATGATTAATTATACAAATTTGAAGTAAGTCCACGTAATTAATGTATAATGTTAGTCGCGAGTGGTAATTATAGCAAACTATAGCTATGATGAGTAATTAAATAGTATAAGTTCGATTTGTTGCGTAATTTTCCCAATTAAAAAACTGTTCTATAAGCTGCTAATAAAAAGGACAAAGAAAGAAGTTCACCACAAAGAGGGTGATGTTGCTTGAAGCAGTATGAGTTATGACAGAAGTGAAGATCTCATGAATCTTAGGTTACTAATGATTGTCGACTACCACTCGATGAAAACCGCACTAGTATTAGTTCGAATAAAACAAATGACCTGCAGATAGAAAACTTTACGAGAACACAAACAAAGTCACAGTTTCACGGACTATAAGCTACTCAGACAACTAATGATCCATGTTAACAGATACATGGTTAAAAGATGGATCGTGAGTTCTTTCATCTTATTAGTTTCTTATACATATCTGAGTTGTATCATCCTAAGTTGCTCTGACTCGGGCGCAGGTATCCGAGACGGATGCGAATCCGAGAGTCGGATTAGGCAAAATTTAAATTTTAAGATTCGGGGGTGCGAATCCGAGTATGGATACGGGTGCCGAGATTCGGCTAAAATTATTCAATATTATAAAATATAGTTATAATAATAAAAATATTAAATATATTGTAAAACTCTATACTTAAAAACATATCAATTATAAATGTGCAAATTTAAAAGCATAAATTAATTGATCTCATTATCTCCCGATGGTTCAAGTTGAATAATTGATCAGTATAGCTTCCCCATCTCACCTTGATCTCATTATCTCCCGTTAAGAGTGGTTGAGAATTATCTTTAACACACTTCACCTGAGGCATGCTAATTTTATTATTTCTTTCTACCCTGCTGGTGTCCCTAATTTTTTGTACAAACATCGAGTGCTTCCCCGCAAAATTGACTAGTAGCCTTCTTAGCTTCCTTCTCACTTCTCTCTTGTACTCTTCAAAGGCTTCTCTATCTTGTGTTTTATAATTGTAGAGCTGAAAATCCTAGGATGTTCGGAATAGGCGTTTGGGTTCTATATGGGATGATGATCCATATTCACCTGGACAACTCATCCTTGCACTATAAATCTATTATTAGATTAATAGATTTAAGCTAGTATTTTGACTATCGATGTAAACTTATGCCTAAAGTGTCATGTCTTTGGGTGCATCAGTGAGTTGCTGACGCTGCAAAATGGTATGATTGGTTTATATGGATATAAAAATTTAAGTGAAAGCCAGATTACATTATGAGAAGTTCAAATGACCTTAGGGATCATTAGTTAGTGCCAGTGTTGAACCCATTTATACCTTAAATTATGTTCAAGTCCTGCCTGAACTACCCAGTAGACAATTACAAAAGTATATAAACATCTTTCTTGAACCTGCTACCACATTTGTGTTTAACATCAAATCCGAATGAAATGCTACATTCTAGCACGAATATCCATATATAAAGCAAGATCTCTGAAGTCTGCCTCAACTCCTAGACCGAACTCATTACAGTATTAAAAATAAAAGACCTTTAATACTATATTTGCACTACATATATTCAATCTTATAATACATAATATTCAAAACAGTAAAATCCAGTGACTGGGAATAGAGAACATACTGACATTACTCTTAGACTCTCACACTGTAGTAATTAGTTGCACATATATGTGAGAATACCTACAAAAGTTCAAATACCATTTGACCAAAAAAAGTTCAACACCACTAACATATGCACTTTAGCACCTTAATATGTGCAAAGCACATCTAATAGACTTATACCTTGAAGTCATGTAGTTTTACAATGAAACTGCTTCATGTTATGGTTATGAGAAAAACCAGGGCCTTCTTATATTCAGTGGTATTACATGATGGTTAGGTCAATGTATTTAGTGATTCAAAAGAGAAGACAAGACAAGTTGTTCCTCATTAGTAGAATACCGAAGGAAAGAAGAAGCGTTTTTACGCACTTCTAATACTACTTGAAATAAAATACTGAAGAGAAATTTGGAGAAATCAAATTTAATATATCTGGTTAGATATATTATATTCTACCAATGAGGGACATCTTGTCTTATCTTTTCTTCCCAATGACTAACTACACTAAAAATCATCCACTCGATGATTGGTGTAATTATATGATTTTATGCATATAGTAGGTGTCTTTCGACTTGAACCTAACTTTTTGTATAAGATTTTCAAGAGCTTGTCGAAACTGATGGTAAGAAAATTTTCTACTAATCCATAATTCCTTTATTGTCAAGACAATTTCTTTTACACGCAAATCATGACAACATGTGTGCACATGAGCTTTGCACTAATGAGCCCATTATCAATACTTTTTATAATTATGGCAAAACACAATAGACCTATTGAATCATCCTGAACAATAGTCGTACCAAAATAAAACTACAATCAAATTGTAAGAAACTCAGAGATAATAACCTAACTCAAAGGATAATAAACTACATGAGTAATACTATGACTAATAGCAAACCTAATATTATAGGAGAATAAGCAAAACAACGTTCAAATGTGTACCTAACCTCCTACCCAAATAAATATCCTCCATAACCTTCTACCTAATCTCTTATCTAAGGTCATGACTTCAATAAGTTAAAGTTGCTTGATTTCTTGTCTAATCAACAATTCACAATACTTATTTGGTCTACCTCTACCACCCTTGAAATTATTTATAGCCAACCGCTCACAACTCCGCACTGGGGCATCCATTCCTCTCCATTGCACATGCACAAACCATCTCAACTTTGTTTTCTGCATCTTATCATCAATCAAGGCCACGCCTACCTTGTCCCAAATTACTTGGGAGTCATTTGATACAAAAAGTTAGTAATGCACGGATTAGTAACGCATGGAATAGTAATGCAATGATTATTTTTTAACAAGTGTTTGGTTCATTGCTTCTCACCTATTTTTGTGCCTGGTTTAGAACTTTACAAAAAGGAACTTTTTTCCAATTTTACCCATGAATAATTTTGTTATCTATTTCATGTAATTACCATAGGGTAAGGGGCAAGGGGTGGGGGTAAAGGGGAAGGGTAAGGGGGTATTATGGTTTAAAACTTGAACGTGAATTGCTTAACAAATTAAACTCACTTGAGGAAGTCTCATGTCGTAAACGAGAAGAAGTTATTTTAAGTAACTCGTGCAAAAACAAGCTTGGGAAAGAACAATCATCGCATCAACAATACGTCTACCTATGGAACCATAAAGATGAAATCTTGACAACTTTGTAATGGGATTCAAGCTTATGCCTAGAATAGATCTGAAGCATCATACAATAGTCACGAAGTCTACTGAAAAAACTGATAAAAGCATGAGAGAACCCATGACCCATCCTGTTTTCTTGAAGCTGTAAGGAACGCCAAGAACTCCAGCTCCAACTACTGGTATGACAACCTTAGCAAAAGTTTTTTGCGAGAAAATTCCTATTCAGTTAAAACTTGAATAAGAACGAAATTTTATTACCTTGATGAAAACAGGACAAACGATTCCAAAGAGCAGGATACCGTGATTGTGAATATCTTTGCCAATTCTAAAGGATGTAATCAGAAATTAGAGGGTCAATTCAATCATTTTGTTTCCGTATTGATAAATATTAGTAAACCTTGGATTGATAATCCCTACATATCCTTGGTGTAAGCTAAGACCACATATGATGTATAAGTTATCCATGTATTAGGTGTGCTTGAGTTGAATTGTGCAACCAAACATTGTATTGAGTGGACTAAATTTTAACCCAAGGATATTTTAATTAATACCTCCAACCAAACTACTCCCTAATTCTTAATCTTGTTTACATCCATTGCAGCATTCTCCTCCCCAACGTTCAAAAAAAATCCTGATTAGCCAATACTCCATTCCGACAATGTAGCCTGTCTAACTACCGCATTCTCTATTTCAATTACAAAATCAACCTCAAAGCTTAAGTGGAAGTGATCTTCTAAGAGATAGAAAAGGGCAATTATATAAGGAGAACAGAACTCAAAATGTTTTGATCCTCCTGAATAACTACTTTGCAAAGATGCGACTTTTATCAGCATTAGGTGCGGAAATTAGGACTCACAATTGAAAACTACCGATCAGGGCAAGTGCGACAGAAAAAGGTACCCTGAGACAACTGGCAACAAGTGCGCGCCTCCATTTGAATGTGTGATGTCAGACGGGTGGCTGCCACAGCGCTGTGAAGCGGTAAGAGCGATTGGGCGCATCCCAGCACTCCGTTAGTCCTGAAAAGAAATACATTAAACAAATTTAAAAAGTCAGGTTTAGCCTAATTAAGTGAAATATAAAGGATAAACCGATAGGGAAAGGAACCTGGTGAGAATGGTGGAAAGAGAACGGCGAGACTGAAGGCGCTGGCCGAGAAGGGATTGTACACTTGGTGAGGAACTTACTGTTGATGGCCTACAGCTGGAGAGAAGTGTTCGAGAAAACGACATGCAACGCCTCGCCATGATTTTTGCTCCTCTACTACTGTATTATCCCACTGGGAGCGATGAGATTCAGATTTCAGGGTTTAAGGGACGAGCTAGCAAAATCTCGGTTCGAGCTGTGGGCCTCTTATGAAACGGGTACATACTTTAGAATTTGGGCTTCTTGCCAGAGAAGTTGAAGCAAGTGAAAAAGTATTGTGAAAATTGATGAGGAAGAGAGAAATTAATAGGAAAAATTACATTAAAACGTGACTTAATATTATCATAATCACTAAAATTTTGCAATACATTCCTTCTATTAAGTAATATATCGTGTGCAATATATTGTATTGGACAACCAAGAAATGTTTGGAGAGTAATGAAAAATGTCATATTTTTGTAATTGGGAGAAACTTTTTGGATAAGATCTAATTAATCCCAAATGTATGAGACTTTTATACTTATATACCAAACAAGAGTGAGTTACTCTGACGGTAAGCATCTTCATTTTCAATAGTCAATTTATGAGTTTGAATAATCAAAAGAGCATTAAATTGAAATAGTTCATCGGGATAGGTAGATACGAAAAATGAAAAACAATAATACACTAAGCAACTTAACTTTACCATTCCCTCTATTCTAAATTATGATGTAATTTGCTTGATCAAGTTTCATAAAAATATGGAACAAATATTGATGAAATAATTAGATTTGGTGCAAATCTAGTCTGAATGGTTCGGTTACGAAACATAGCGATGGGCCACGACAAGATCCATAACCTGTCCCTCTTGCTAGTTAACAGTTGGCCCATGTCATGTGTAATTGAGCTACTCAAATCAATTACTCTACTACTTAAAACAGACTCCAATATAGCTTCCAAATTTATGAGTTTTCAATTGTCTCATGTATATTCTCGCTTAAATGGCACAAATTCACTATTTTGTCTTTCAGATTGATTTTTTATTTATACAGCGCTATTTCCTTGCAATCTCTTTACTAATACATTAAAATACAGTGATACAATAGTCTTTTCTCATGATAAATAAAAATAATAATTCATATATCTGTCTATTTTTACTTTTGTCTTTTGTTATTAAAGTTTAAATTTACGTTCGTAATCAAGTGGAACTAGCAAGCTTATCCCATCAGTTAAAGATCATATTTTAAGTCGTTGAGGCTTGATTATTAAAATCCAATTTAATAAGTTCAAATTATTGAATTAAATTTGAGGGAGAAAAATTAATGAAAAAATTCCTAACAACTCTTGGTTGGTAATTTTTGAGGAAAAAATTATGAATATTATTGTGACTGTTTATCAAGGACATCTCACTGCTAGACAAGGCTATATCTAATCCAACCTAAAGAAACCATGAAGTTGAAACTTAAAAAACAAGTCAATTTTCTAATAATTTGAAAATTGAAAAACTTGCTCAAGGTCAGTATTAAATGAAATAATGATTGTTATCGATAATATTTTGATTTTTCATAAATAAAATTATTAGCATGATTTAAACTTAGATTTTTTTTAAAAAAAAATCTTCAACTTTAAATATTTATTCTTTAAACAGATAACATCAAATCGGTTACTTATTTTTCACAAGTTGGAGGAATATTTTTAACACAACGTGGTAACTTGAATCAAAATATATATGTAAAAAAAGTTTTTTCTTTTTGTAAAGAATTTTGCACCTACTATTATTTAGATGGACTCAAGATAAATTTCATTTCTATATACAACTGTTATTATTTGTACATCACACCCAAAAAAAAAAAAAGACAAACCCACTAAGCAACCCTTGAGCTTGACCGAAGAAACATACTGAATATTTCAAAATTAAAACTCTCATTTAAAACATCACTTACTCAACCAACTATAACACCTATAAAACTTATAGAATTATATTTGCATATATTTATTTCTTAAAAAGTTATAAATACTTCCTTAAACATTAAAGTGTAACTTAATTCTCGTGTTACGAGTCATATATAATGTCGGCATCAAGCCATTATTGTACTAAAAGTTCAGCAGGTCGCCAATCTCTATCTAATGAACAGATTTACCTTTATTTGTTCTTTGTCTTAATTCCATAAAAGAAAAAAGTAGTTAATACATATTTTTTGTGACAAAGCGTTGCAAATTAGCACTGACGAGTAGGGCTGGCCGGTGAGTGTTTGATATTTGGTCTGGGATTTTTAAATTTAATATTTAATATTTAATATTTAATGATAATAAAATTTAAAATTTTGGTATTTTTAAAACTAAATCTCAATTTAGTATCGTATTCAAGAATATGTATATCCATATTTAAATTGTAACTGATTTTATTACAAAGTTAGAAATATTTCTTCAGTTGTTTCTATTTTTTTACGTGGAGAAACATATATTAGAAGATCGATAAGTAAAAAGACATCATGACATATATTTGGGTTGCTTAAATTTATTCTTTCACTTTCTCATTGAAGTTTAGACTTATACTAATGAATAATGAACATGTTGATACATGATATTTATTAAATTAAAAATCAATATTAAGAAAATATTGAATGCGAAATTATCAAAAAGTTTGATTCGATTTGATAATTCTAAAATTTTGCTTCCAAGTGTTACACCAAATATGGAATGCCAAATTACCAAAAAGTTTAATTCGATTTGATAATTTGGTTTTGATTTTTTTTTTAATTTTAAAATATTACTGGGCAGTTCTGCTCTCACCCTTCCATTATGCTAGTGGATAGCGAGCTAAGAAATTAAATAAATTTCATAAGTTGTTCTATAATTGTAAGAAATTAAATTAGATCAGACTTGTCCTTGATGTACGTGTGAAGGTTCAAATACGTTTTTATTAGTCTTTTAATTATGTTTAACTAAAAGTCGCGAGAAGTAAAAACATTTTTAGAGTTTGTTTAAATGAACTTATAATTTACTTTATATAAGTCAAAAATTATAATTAAAATTATTAACTTACAAATTTTGATTTACTTTTATTTTTTGGACTTCAAAACAAGTGTTTAAAAATGTTTCTTTTGTTAAATATTCAATAAAAATAATAATTATTCATTTCTTTTTAATTTTTTTGTTCCTAATTATTTGTAAACTTTTGAATTGACACGCATGAACAAATAATTGTTAACACAGTAAATTTATTATTTTACCCATATTTATTATGAAATATATAAATTAAACACTTGAAATTTTCAAAAAAAAAATCAAATTGAAAATATAATATGCAAAAGAAATATTTTCGCTTGATTTATTAAATTGAAAAAAAAATAACAATAACTATAAAAAATAGATAAATAATTAAATACGTAACATTTATTACTCAAGAGTACTATTTGATCTTTTCTTTTCTTTTCTCGATATAAAAGAATAGCCGACAATCGTTGCTTTCTCAAGCCTTAGAACATGCATCGCATTTATTGATTAATATAAAATAAAGTTAAAGAATACAATTAATTTTTTACTATAAAGACGTGACACGTAGATTTTAATGGCATTGGAATTTTAAACCGTAACGAATTGCCTATCATTCCACCAAAGCTTGGCTCACTCGCGCCTTAATTTGTGGCAGTTACCCCGGCGTCTAAATTGACCCTCTTCCTTTTTCTACGCTCTCAAATTATCAAACAAAGTTGTTAAAAATACGGAAAAATCCTGTTGATCAAAATTCTTTGGCTATAATGGTCGATTCACGCTATAAACGGGTTTACTTTTTTATATTTTTATCTTTATTTAAATTTATATTTATTATTTATTTTTTAAAAAATAAATTTTTTTTCAATACACGAGAATTAATTTCATAATTACAAGTTAATTTCAATTTCTTTTAAAAAGAATACAAAATTCTTCCCTCTACTTTCCAATATAAATTTTAAAGAACACAAATTTGAAATTCAAAATTAATAATAAAAATTTAAAATTTAATGACAAGATAAACACTAATAATATTAAATTTTAAATAAATTAATCTCACAAGCAATTCAAACTAAAAATTCATAAAATAACTTAACAAGTAAAATTATTAATTAAAAGTGTCATATATATTGGTCATTTATATACTACTACTAGTACTACTACTACTACTAATAATAATAATAAAAATAATAAATTATATTTCTTAACTTTGTGATTTAGAGATAATATATTTTTTGTAAAAGAAAGTGGCTCACAAGTCACATCTATTTCAATTGTTACATATATAACTTTGATACAACTAAATCCTTTTTAGCCGAAGGAAGTCAAAAAATTGATTCAATTTTTTTTTATAAAATAAAAATGATACAAGGTATGTGTGACCCTTCTCGTAATATTTTGAGGTATGTTTGAAGAGCCAAGATCATTTTTCGTTGATGAAAGTGAAAAACTTATTAAATTTTTTTTAACAAAATAAAAATATAAAAGGTATATTTGACCCTTCTCGAAATATTTCGACTGATATTTGATCTTCTTCATACATGAATTTTTGTCTTTTTTATTTATTTTTTATCTTCTTTAATTCCATGACTAATTTTGATATACTATTTTGATGATCAAATTTAATTTTTCACTCGTCTTCTTGCAAAGTCTATTATAGATGCATCAACATTTTTATAACAACAAAATAAAATTCAATATAATCGCAAAAAAGTGATTAATTTTAGATTGCTTTTTTTAAAAAAAATATTTTTATTTCGTTCACTATTCTTTTTATTTCTTATTAAATTCTCATAATTTCTACACTAAAGAATGAAAGTGAAAAATTAAACATGAACAACAAACTCAAATAATGATAAACAAATATATTCATAAGGGAGATAATTAAAATCAAAATTAACCACTGAATTAAAAAACTCAAAAATAAAATCACGTAAAAAAATATATGATTTTCCTCTATGTGTATATTGTTTGGTTAAATAACTAAAATAAAAAATAAAAAATCTAAAGTATAACTTTCGTTAGTCAAAAAGGATGCATAAGTTATTTAGTTTGCTCATGTAACAGTAAATGTATATGTGATCTTTTCTTTACGGAATATATATTATCTCTATATCACAAAATTAAGGAGTATAACAAATCTTTTTCTCGTAATAATAATTCAACATAATTTGCATAATATTATTATGATGATGATCAAACAAACAATGTGGTATAGTAGAAATGTAAAAAATATTATATATCTT